TATTTAACTTTTCATTGTACTGTAGAATCTCTCGTATCCGAAACAGTCATTATATCCCAATACCTACCCTCATATTCGAACATTCTGTTATCCGAACAGAGTGTCGCCCAGCAACAGATCCCTTTACTCCCAAGTATTTGTGTTTTATTCCATGCAGTCATCTTTAAAAAATCTGATCTAACAACTCTCTCTACCCCCATCCCTTAAGAGTTAAAATTCCAAACACAAACGCTCAAAAATGTGTCAGCGGCGAATAATGAACGATATCGCGAATCTGCAATGAATCTTGACCTTCCTACCAGTGATCGGCGGGACCTTTTAATGCCAGCCATGTCTGAAAAAAGATCGGTGGCACGTTACGATATAACTCATACGCGGTACCGCTTTCACGTCCATTGCCCGGGAGGGCCGCGATGAGAGACACGCGTTCACAAAGCCCGTCCGCGGCTCTCTTTCTCTCCTCGTACGGGGTGATCTATTGGCGGGACATCTGCCGCCGTGTCGTCATAGAGACGACGCATTTACGGGCAGCTAAGTGGCCTTTACCCGCGGGTTCCCGAAAGCGGGGCGATAAATTTCGCTTCGCCTTCTCGCGCGGCCCGCCTTTAATTTGACGGGGCCGGGGCTCGTTACACTCGTTAGCAGCGTGAGAGGAAACAGCGCGCCCCGACCTAACGCCGCAGACACGACCGCGTCTGTTCCCCTTTCCGAAAGCAACGAGAATATAACACGATTTTGATACTGCGGTGAACCGGCAGGTGAACCGACAGAATTCTCCAATTCTTGTGATGAATTCTGTATATATCTGGTCTCATTCGAATGAAGAAGCTTGGATAGGGGATAGAAATCAAGGTGTATTTGGAGTACTGTGCTCTTCGAACGTATCAGTTAAGAAGGCTAGTGCAAGAGGGAGTTATGCCGCAACAGTAGCGTTGTGAGGTGCCCTACAATTTTCAATCCTTATGTATTGTAGTATAATGAGAATGACAAACTTTTTTGGTAGGGAATATAATCTATTCTTTTCTGGGGAACATTATTTCTCAACACGATTTCAGGCATGGCATACTGGGTTTGTTTTCATTTTAACCACGATGTGTAAGTACTGATATATTACACCGAAGCTCCTTGGTCCAATGCTCGCAAGTTTCGCCGCAGAACACCGGAAGTGGTCGCGAGGCTAGAGTATCTCCGGCAGTGGCTGATATTGTAATAAACAGCCGGCGGAGGTGTCCCATTAATTGTGGAGGATCGCAAGGTGGCCTCGAAACGGAGCAAGAAGGTGAAATTTAGTGAGCTACTGGTGGAAACGTTGAGACCCCTAATGGCCATTCCGATGACTATGGTTCTCGACCACAGTGGTAGCGGCAGCTCTCCCTTCCACCATCCCTCTGCGCCACCAGGTTGCACCCTCTCGTCCCTCCCCCATCCCCCAACGGCGTGTTGTCTCCTCCACGGTTTCAACTCGTTTTCTCCACCCTGCCTGCCCGGCCACACTCTTGGCCTCTCTGGCCCCGTGTATGCAACGGCGTTCCAGCAATTACGCATCGCCGCAGTTAAATACAATGGCCAGGACAACGACTCTGTAATTTATCCCCCTGGTTTGGGCCACCATCCGCGCCCGCTTCAGCGTTTGTTTCCAACGTTGGAAGAGAACGCCCGCCGACGGTTCTCCGTCTCTGTTCCCCTTTCACCGTTCACCCCCGAGTCACTCTCTTTCCGTCGACCCGTTCCACTAACCATCCCTTTCCCCGCTGAAACCCCCGGCCGGGCGTTCTCCGTGTTTAAATTAATGATAATTAATAATGGCAAGTCGTATGGACGCCGTTCGTCAGCGGTGAATTACGGAAGTTTCGTGGGGCGAGCGTACTTCGTGAAAGATTTATTAGGAATATTAAAGTCCGGGGTAGTTCCTCCGCCGTTCGAAGATTTTTTGGGGGATAGAAGAGAAATATAAAGATGAAGAGTAAATGTCTCAATGTGGATTGTGGTGTTTCGTTTGGTGTACATGCTGTTCAGTCGATCGCTCTTGGATGTCTCATGGAATTACCAATTAGGGTGGCTGTGCTGGGAGTGTGGGCGAACGTAATGGTCAACCATAACGACTTGATAATTTGTCTATGGTTTAGGGTGGCAGACAGTCATTGTTCTCGAATGAAACACCCCCATGAATATTTGATAATGGCATAGGGGAACAGGCTTATAGTTCACTCTCTACATTATCTCCATTATGAATGGGTATAATCTCGATTTTTTAATAGATTAGTCAATCCCTGTAATGTGTCCACATTATAATTTCTTTGAAATTTTCACAATGACCCTCGACACTACAATTTTACAGGCAATTTCAACGAAATTACTTTGAAAGTAAAATTAAGCGGATTATTAATATACCAATGTATTCGTTGTAAACAATTACTTGTAATACGAAAATTGCATCGGAGTTTCCACGAGGAAAGTTCGATGACATGTGGAAGTTTGTAAAATCGATTCTACTATTGCTCGCGAAAATACCATTGCGCGCAATTACGTCGAACAATGGAACGGACTGGCGATAGAATTACCAATTAGGGATCGTCACGGTTAAATACAATGGCCAACGACAACGACTCTGTAATTTATCCCCGGTTTCGGTTACCGTTCGCCTGTTGTTTTCGAACGCCGGAAGAGAGTGTATCGTTGTTATCCCCCTCTTGGATGCTGAAGCTCGTTGCGGCCTCTGCGTTCAATTTAACGACAATTAATACCGTTCGCCGCGTTCCGTTTAATCGAGATCGACTATTGAACGCGTAAATTTCGGCAAATGGAAATTTCGTGTTAATCCCGACAACGTTCCGCCATTCTTATTAAGTGAATACCTTAGAATACTATGGATATCTAACAGAGTAAATTCAGTCGGTCTTGAAATAATTGGAACAATAATGTTTCTTACATTTTCATCATAATACTCCCTCCTGTGTAATAACACGTATTACAAAATGTGATCAATTTTAAATAGAGTTACACACAGATTAATCGATTTAATTTTAAATACTTTCGAACTAATCTCAATTTTATTTCTCCACAAAGTATTATAAATTATTTCTATCGCTATTGAACCATATCTGATGTGTCACCCACGACATATTGACGTGTCAAAAGCACTTTGTATCGAAAACGTGCAGTGATAACTCCACGAAATAAAAATTCCTCAAGCTATTATCCCGACATTACTTCCATTACAGGGTAATTCATGCGTAGATAATTGGCGTACAAATCTTGAAATAGTGCTCCTGCATCCCACCCCCCTCCTACCCCCCGTTCACCCTTTCCGTGTCATTCGCCATTCGTTCTGTCGCGAAATACGCAATCTCCACGGCCATTTAAAACCCTTTTCCAGCCTTCAATTAGCGGCGTAGCGCGCCGTTCGGAAACAAATTTCCCCGTGTCGAGCGAAAAAGGCACGTTCGTAAATCTGTTCCCGAGGCGGCCCCGTATGGCACCGCGTCTAACAGGTGCACACATAACGCTTATCCGTTCCCGATCGAGCAACGCGGCGCGCGGGTCCGCTCCAGCGCGTTTGATCCAGTCGCGCACTGTCATCCTCGCCACGTTCCATTTGTCGGTCGTGCTCGAGGTGTGCATCGAGTAAAGATGAACCGATCCAAGTAAATACAAGTAAATAATCGATAATTTCCTTATGGCACCAAGTATTTTTAGTATCGATACTTTCGGTTGCGATGTATACTTGGTATTGAAAAAAAGTACTCGTATCGAATAGAGCAAGTAATCGATACGAAAGGTAATAAATGTAAAAAGGTGGTTGTCGTCCAGTTATTTTACGTTGTGAATAAATGTTCATTATTAAAATATATCTTCGTTAAAATCACAAATGGACAAATTCATTATCTAGATAAAGAGTTTCAAATAACGAATAAAAGATATAAAAGCACTTTGACATTATGAATCGTTTAAACGTGGAAATTCTAATTTTTATAACAAAATCTTCTTCCTGAATGTGTCGTCATTTGGCAAGATAATTGATTTACTCTTATTGCACTTTACTGTATCTTATCTAGGTAAACAGCATTTGCCCATCTCTGCTTCCGATGCAAATACAACGCGTACCAGAACGAAGCCCGCGAGGAATTCGAGGACAGGAGAGTAACACATACAGGACGAGTATATATTTTTAATTCGATTTAATCGGTGGCAACATGTAAGCAGGTTACATAGATTATATCGACCACTTATTGTGTGACACTGGGATATACGCATACCGTCTGTCTACACGCGAGTGTAACATATTACATCAATTATAAATTTGTCTGTACGCTTGCACGATAATTAGGAATATACAGTGTGAGATCGTTTTCGTATTCGTACATAACATACGCAATAATATTATAGAATCTTCGCGCGGGCAATTTTAACCGTATCCCGTATCATACATATACACATCACGACCAACTCCTATTTACAAGCCCTATGTACAAAAGAAATAAATAATTTAAGCGTCTAATTGGGCGATCGATTGGGTACATCGAGCCCGTGTACTAGAATCGTGTATACTCCGATATAATGTATACGTCGATAAATACAAAGTCTCAGTCTATAAGATCGCAACGCGAAACAAACTCTGTGGCTGTATACGCTGTCCGATCACTGTCGTGCGCATGTACGCCTATTAAAAAGATTTCACCGTTTCGAGATTCACATCCATCAGCTACGTCTAAAGTCGAGTAGAAAATTATTTGGTAATTACTTAATGTAGCTAGAAGTAGATCGAGATCTCCGTAGAAATCTCTAGACACTCCTAACCTTGGATTTCGCGAAATCACGTGTGATCACCAGTAGTAGCGTTCCCTTTCGATCGTTCGAGACACTCTGTGAGAAACGATTTCTTTTAATTGCGACCCGAAGTCGCGACACCAAGCAGACTGGTCGATGTCCAACGATGGACGAAAGAACGAAAAAGAAACCGAGAATCGAAATTTCACCAGTGACTTTCTCGTTTTTCATCGTTAATGCGGATGATTGCTGCCAGTCACGATTTCCTCGCCGTCCTCGTCCACGGGCACCGTCGAGTGATTGTACAGTCCTTGAGCCATCAGCTGAAGCGCGAGCGGATTTTTCTGTCCGCTGGCCTTCTTGATTTTCGCCCTCTTGTTCTGGAACCAGATCTTGATCTGCGCTTCGTTCAAGCCCAGATCCCTCGAGAGCTGCTGCCTCCTTCTCTCCGTGAGATATCGATTCTCCGCGAATTCACGCTTCAGCCTGGCCAATTGTTCAGCGCTGAACGCGGTCCTCGGTCTCTTCTCCTCTGGGGTGGTAGCTTTGCTGATGCTCTGCGATCGTTTCACCCGACGCGTTCGTGGTCCTGAAAGAAACCGATCGATCGTTCGTTAATTCACAAAATTCGAAACTATAAACATTTCATTCATTTCGTCTAGTGTACTCTAACTGGTTCGGTTAACACGCTAGGTACGAGAGAAAGCAATACAGCAATTATTATCATACAATAGGACTTGGTAGCCGGTATATACATAAGTAGACGCTCGAATTCGCAAAGCGACGTGCGCGTACTCGCGATCCGTAGATCCTGTTTAAACAAATGACGTACAAGCGGGGGCCTCCGGTGAACGTCGAGCGAAAGGATTTATCGGCGAAGTTCGGGCCAATCTTCCGCGTTCGAAGTATGTATGTAAATGGTAATTAAGCCTGGGCAGAATGAGAGGTTTTCTTTGAATCCTTACTTGGACTTCTACTATGTCGCGGCCGGCTATCTACCCGCGCTCCACGCCGGATAATTTTATTTTCCAACGAGACACCCTAGGTTGGTGGCACGCCGCGGCTCGCCTTTATCTGTCCGCGACTATCGGCCAGGGCTTAGATTATTACGGTGTATTACCAAATTGGGTACCCGGCCACCACCGGCAGAGAACGGAAAAATATTCGCCGTCGTCGTGACCGCGCCTGCTGGCCGGTGGCTGGCGCATGTTCGCCCCGAATGAATATTTATAAGTGGCATAACATCGAAACACGGGACGTTGGCCGTTATCGGGCCCGGGCGACGAGGGATCGGCGTTCACTTTCTTAACCGGTCGTTTGCGCGACAAATCGTTCCTACCATTGAAAATTCTAATGAAACTTCCTTCTGGAAGTGCTTCTAGACGCCGGAGATATGCACATCGGGGTTGGAAATCGACCCTACGAATGCATTACATCCCTCGCATGAATCAAACTAAGATTTCGTATAGAGAAATTTATTCCGCCTGATGTCCATCATGAAATTCCTTTTTTTGTCGATCATTAAGGATCTACCGTATCCTCCATCGATCATTCATGGGAGCAGTCTTTAATTAACGGAAGCGTAGATCATTGATTCGTGGTAATTAGTAACGCGTTTATCGATCTAGGACCCCGCCGTTGGAGCAGGACCCTAGACGCGGGGCACCGTATCTGGGACAGAACGATTGCGAGGGTAGATCGCGGATATAGGTTGCGGACAATTGGGTTCTGCGAACGGGTGCAGGTGGTATCGAGTCGTACGTTCAACCCGCTAGAGAGAGAGAGGGGGGCAAGGAAGGCAGTGGTTGAGACTCGCAATTATACATAAGCTATGCAGCCTGTAACAGTTAAGATCGTGAGCGGAACGGCGTGTATCGTCGGCGCGACACTAAATCGGAACTGGAACGACGGTTCGGGAAAACTGGTTGTATTTCTTTACGGCACGGCCAACAGGCCAGGTGTAATTAGGCGAGCTTTATGCGACTTCGTGATTTTTCGATAGCGTCTCTCCCTCTCCGTTCGTTCGTTCGGGTTAGCGGGAAACGCGGTTGATCTCCATAGAAACTGGTTTGCAGATGTAACGGTCGCCAAAGTTAATTGATTAAACGGATACGGAGAAATGGTGGAACGAGAATTGCGAGTATGGATACATACTTAGTTGTCGGGTCGACTTCCTTGATACCACGATTAACTGAGACATATCTGTCTATCGATTAAGGGGGAGGGGTTAAGCGGAAACGACCGCGAAATCATTTTTATAGGCGATGGGATTAGACGTTCGATCGGCTCGATAATATATTTTTATTATTATTTCTCTCGTACGTTCGCATGAGATTGACCTTGTGATACAGAAATGACTGATTTTCCGTTAACAAGCTAACGGAGTTAAGACTATACAATATTTAAATAGTTATAACTCTTACCGGAAGACGGCCTGTCCGAATATCTGGTACAGTACACCCACGCAGGCCAAGGACTCTGTCCGTTGAGCGAAGCCTGTTGACCGGAGCCTGTGCTCGGCGTGCTGCTCGTGCTACTGTCTCCGCTCAACGAATCTCCGCTGATGGTAGACGACGTGGAGCCCAGTGAGGGTGCTCCAGTAACGGAGCTTCCGGTTACAGAACTTCTACTGCTCGCTAGACTCTCGAGACTTCCACTCCTGCTAAGGCCGGTGCTCCTCTGGAGGGGCGAAGTCAGTCCGCAATGCGAAGAAAACAAGTCCCGATCCCTGTGCACCGAAAAACTGCCCGTCTGAGGCCTCGAGGGCGACAGTCGGCTGGAGGACAGGCTCAAATCTCGCGGCAGTGAAAGGGGACTGTGTCGTGGAATCGGAACTGGAATCGTCGTCGGATGTCCAGTCGCCAGACCGGCCGGTTTCGGTGTCTTCGTGTTCAAGATCGCCTCCCGACCGAACTCTGGTCGCAGAATATTAACCACACTGAATCGCAACGGGGTCTCGATGTCCTCCTTGTGATCTTGTGGCTGCTCCTGATGGGGGACCACGTGACTCTCCGGGGAACGGACCCTATGAGGATGGTGATGATGATGGTGATGGTGGCCGCCGAGGCCCAGTCGAAGACCGTACGCAGAATCCATCGTCACGAGGGCTACGCTCATCTTTCGGATTATTGAATCGCCCTGTATATCCCTACCACGTTACAAGTGTCTTCCCTAACGACGATTAGAAGTGCTCTGGTATAGTATCTAGGCGCTAGTACTCTATCGTCATATTTACGAAAGAACACAGAATCACACTTGTCACTTCGTTTTCTCGTAACGGCCAAATTATATGCGACTGTCAATCGAATGTTTGTCACTGGCTGGAACACTAACTCACAATTTATGCTCCCCAGAAAGTTCTTCGAATGTACACCGCACGTGTCACTATGCTCTCTTCACTGATCGTCTGTCAACACGGAACCGCCATCGAATTTTCCGAGTCCCCTTTTCCACGTTATCGCGCAACCTGCTCGACGAAGGTGTGCAACGAACGATCACGTGGCGGGTTTGTCTAACTGCGAAAGGTCGTCGCGTCCAGTGTCCCTGTTGTCCACAGCGAGATTAACGGTTCGACGGTGCACCAAGACCGGAGAGGTCTCCTTCGTATTGGCTTTTCTCGAGGTTTCCGAGGACTCGAGCGAGTGCTGTGACGGGTCTGACTGGCTGTCCATCCGTCGCTCAGTGATGTCTAAACTAGGGGACCTGTGGTCCCTACTTACCGCTTTCCCCACCGACCCCCGCGCCCCCTTCACTCCTCCTACGCCCCGGCCTGGAGTGCAGTGCACTAGACACCCTCGATTGTATCTCTATTAACTCTTCAGTCACAGGCTCCGCCTCCACGCGGTAAGGTCTACCCTACTCCCTTCCCACGGCTCATCCCCACCAACAGTGGCACGGATAGTAGGGGGCTGGGACCTCGAGTTCGCTACGATCGATCCCACTGCAATGTTCCAGTCTCGTTCCAACAGTGACGAGATCTTTGTCCTGTCCATACACTTTTTCCCTCTTTTGCCCGTCGCTACCTTGAAAAACGTTTTTACGTTCGTGTTCCCGCTGCATATGCCTTTTTCAATGGATTACTAAAACAGTATACCACGGGTTGGACTATTAAACCTAGATTAAAAGTCACGTTCTCTGTGAGGATGCGCGTCTTGAAGTATTGTTATCCTGTTTATTAATTTTTTAGGATATTGTACCGCCGACTGTGATAATTCGAAGATTTTTATAATAGCTTGAAAATTGAAGATGTATTATCAGAAAATTAATAACAGTCTAGTGATTCGTTTAAGACAGAATTATGTTTATCGGGCAGTTTCAGACCAAGAAACAGTATCCGCGCCACTGCGAATGTCAGTAGTACCGCCGGCTTCTTCCCGCCCCGTTTTGATTCCCCCACCGTCGACTTACGCCAAGATCTCGCCCACATTCTTGCCCCTCCCCGCGAAGCCACGCCCACTAGGCTTCCCCTCCCACCATTCGGTGCCCACTACTCCATACTTTTGTTCCTCCCCACCTCGATCTCTACCCAGGAGGCAGCTAATTCATTTCTTCGAGTCGACGAGCGTTCTCTCGCCGACGTGGATTTTATCGTACCAGCGTCGAAATTGCTTTATACAAAAATTTCACCGAGCATCTAGCTCTTCCACCTCTCCTTTTTTTAGGACGGGGGGGGAATCGTGCTCGGCGACGGTTAACGAACAAATGTATTATCCATTCTGCGGCAGATGTTGGTCCGCAGCCTCCATTTCTGCGTCCCTTCTCTTCTTGTTAAATCTGCACTTTCCTCTACGTCCTGTCACGTGACACGCTTCGCGACCATTCAATCGTTAGGCCTTTCATGTTCGATGCGGGTTAGGGAGACGATTGTTTGCTCAGAGATGGATTTATGATAATCATTGTTCAATGCAAATGTTCCATCTTTATCGCTGATTCTTTGATACATTTGCTTAACAACTTATTCTGTATTTGTACGGAGCAAGTGATAGAAATATTATACTCCCTTCAGCGAGAAGTCGAAAATTATTCAATTTTCTTACGCTCTCTTTTAAAGCTGATATAATGCCTAAGTTTCTAGGTCACCTGATTGTATTAAATATAACCACTGTTCTAAAGTTTATGTAATTCTGTTTGTTCGGTGTAGGCTGTTCGTTTCATGAAAAAGACCATCAAATTTAGTTGCTCGAATAATTACTGAAGAATAAAATTCGAACTATTTCCACAGTAGATATTATAGACGATTTAGCGAGTGACATAAATATGTACTACTATCGTCCTAACAGATTTACATCATACACCTGTCGACGGTCCAGTAATGAACGTTATTAGAAACAGTGACGACACATTCCGCCATTAACCACAGGGAAGAGAAAATTACAGCCATTAACCCTTTTAACGTCTAATCACACGGAGCTCCCGTGTCCCGTGGAATCATTATTCGATAGCGACACGAAAGGAGCGAGCCTAAGCATTAAATACACGCAAGACGTATAATGGGACATCGTTAAAAAAACGCGGCAATTAATGTTTCCCGCCGAATTCATCACACGATGAGATCACACGCGACACCATATATTAATTTGCATTAATTACCAAACTATAAGCTATAATGAACGATGATCAACCTTTTACAGACGACGGTGAAATTAAAATATTATAATTCGTCGCTTCCGATCTCCATATACGGGACGAAAGAGGGAAAAAAATAGATTGTACGCGCCAGGTAACACAACGAACTGTAATTACAACTAACGGAAAAAAGGCGCGATAACCATGGAAATACGACTAGTTTGTAATTTTAATCAGTAATGCAAATATCGTGACAACTGTTTACAGATAACAGTAGTTACTTGCTCGCCAATTTTTCCAGGCAACGCGTGACACCTGTTCACGTAGTTAACTCGTTAGAACGATTCGTTCGAGGCTTTTGAAATTTCATCGGTAACCGCGGCGCGCGGTCAGATTGGCCGCCGAGAGAACAGAAGGCGACTCTCCTTTGTTCCGCCAACGCGACGTGTTCGCGAGGAAACGTGTAAGATCGTTGTTACGGTCTACAGTTTTATTAATGACCACACCTTTCGGGATACCGGCTGCCACGTGAACCACAAAGCGATCGTTAGTCGCTGACTCGATTCGTGTTAGAACAATAATAGAGACAGCCGCTATAAATAACCCTAACGTGTCTATCCATCAATAGAGAGGGTCACGTCCTCTATAAACCGAGCCGCATTCTACGCTACTTTCCAGCTGGACTAGGTATAGGGTGGAGGGGAACAATCCTTTCGACTTTTCAGCATAGTCTTCCTCGATTTCGAAGCACGCCCCTTTCTACACTGTAATTTGCCGAGATCAACCGCAATAGATTTATCCAGCAATCGGTAGAAGATTTTGGCTCCAGGGAAACACGATTTAAAGTAGAAACTGGGATTCGAAGTTTGCGCTAATATTGCTGGGAGCTTCAGGCATTTCTCCTCGTGAAAGTCTTAAAGAATATCTTGGTAGATTTATCGTGAGAGATCCTTAGTACCATCCGGACTTCGATAAGGGTGAAAAGAGAATCTTTCTGTCTACTTAACCAGTGGATGGACCTTAATATTGAATAAATTCCTATAGCGTTAAAAGTACGGTATACTTTGTCCGCTCTTCTTGTCTCGAGTCTTGACACTATGATACATCTTTGAATCGATCACGTCTGAAAACGCGCGTCGACCGAAAAACGAGTTAGCTGTTAATTCATTCGAACTTAGCCTATAAGTCCGCCGAAAGAAGAGAAGCCAAAAGGGCTTTCTATTTCAAGCTTTGACACTGTCATCCATCTCCCAGCCGATCACCGTTCGAATGTATTCCAGCAAGAACGTCCAATCAAGGAAGGGGGGCGGGGAGGGGGGACAGGCAAACGCAGTTAATTCGTTCGTTAGAACGCGCGCGCGCTGATCCCGAAAGGTACGCCAGTCCAAAAGAGAAAACGCCTAGGGCGAGACCAATCGCGAGTCTCGTACGTCAGGGATTGATTGGGTTTTTCGTTGGGCTTGCAAAAGGAAGAACGGGGACGCGGAATCTCGCCGCGGCCGATCATTATTCCCCGAACGCGATTTGTAAACGGGTTCTATTTATGGCACTGCAAACTCTATAATCAGCCGCCGCAGGGGCGACGACTTATTTAGAATAATTAATGCAGGTACGACCTCGCGAACCGGTTGTCGGCCAATCGTATTCCTTCAAGCCCCACTGCGCTGCATTCAGAGGGGAAACCAGAGGCGTGGCCGAAACCAGGTCCCGCCCCCGTCCAGCCTGATCCGCATGCAACCTCGCGTGCGGAGCACTCTCCTCTCGTCCCACGGTTTCACCCCCACCACGGCTGCTTTTTCGACGCTCTGGCTATATTTTCTGTTGAGCAGAAGCCTGCGCGTAGCCATGCGCGTCTGTACCGATACCGCGCAACCCTCCTGCGATCTCGTGATTTTCGGGGAAAATTTGGAAAGTTGTAGGAGAATCGTGTCCGTCTCAAAAGTTAAACTTGTAAATCGTTCCCTCAGGATCAGATGTTTGTTTTATTGTGGAAATCACAAAGCGACGGTGGATTGAACGAAGTGCAGAGTATGTTTCACCTCAAGAGCTCCACAGGAGTACCTCATTGTTAGTATTACCTTCAATTCCTTTTTAAGTAATTCAGGTGCTATGTGTAAAATACGCTAAAAAATTAGTGGAGCATCTGAGCTTAAGAAATTGCAGCATATGCAGCATCCTCATCCTCCTGTCTTCCGCTTAACAACAGTTCACATCCTTCGTCACTTCCACCAGGTCTCATACCTTGTATCATCATCTTCTTCGCATCGTTTAATCCTTCTTATCTGCTTCCTACACCCTTCGTTCATTTTCTCGCGTCTATTATTTGTAAGTGTAATCATCTCGTGTTATCGATATTATTATCATTATCGGGCCGAACGTTGGAACGCGTCGACCAGTCCGACGCGCGGCGTCGCAGAAATATCCATTATGTACAAGGGTAGAGGGGGATGGGACACGTCGATAATAAATGCAGCCGACGGGACGCGTGAATCCAGATAACTACGCGATCAATCGGGCTGATTGAAAGTATCCGACGGCCAGGCCTGTCGTAC